GGAAAAGATATGCTTTTGCGCTCCCCCCCCCCCCCCCCCCCCCCCTCAAGCGAGACCAAGCGCCATATACGCCACTGGACACTACTGGCGTACTCCCCCAAATAAGAATAAAACGAGGCTTATTTCTAATTCGATTTCGGTGATTTACAAATGTTGTGAAATGACATAATGTTTAGTAAATTATACTGTTTTATGAGTTTGTTGGAAAATGACGAATTCCCAAGGTTACAGTCAGGCGAGAAGTATGCTTATTTAGAGGTCTACATGTCAAGGCTCGCGGCACAGCGGGGCTCGGGGGCATTGGTCCCCCCACTATTTAAAAAAAGTATATTCAAGAGAAGTAGGGAGAAAGTAAGAAAATAAATTGTGACCTGCCAGTGTCACAAAATAATGAAGTCTCAAATATGATCAACTGACCGTAATTAAATGAAATTTTGGAGGCTTCACCCTTTTGACCCCACCAAGGGCCCTAAGGCGTGCCCCTGAATGCTTATATCCGACCGTTATAAAATGGCTAAAAATCCCTGAGTTTCCGGGGTATCAAAATATGCTCATCTGAACGTAATGAATGCCCCGATAGCCCCTGAGTTTCCTTGGGCTCAGCCCCTGGACCCCACGCCAATTAGTGACCTCCCCGAGTCATTAATAAGGTATCAGAATATGCTCATCTGAACGTAATGAATGCCCATTGCCCCTGAGCTTCCGGGGGCTCCGCCCCTAGACTCCACACCAATTTATGTTCCGCGAGCCTTGACGTGCAGACTTCAAAATAAGCATATATTTTCTCGCCTGACTGTAACTTTCGGAATTCGTCATTTTCCAACAAACTCATAAAACAGTATAATTTACTAAAAAATTATGTCATTTTACAACATTTGTAAATCACTGAAATCGAATTAGAAATGAACCACTTAAGGGGGAGGCTGCCCCCTTCGAATTAGTACGCCAGTGGTGTCTAGTGGCGTATTTGGCGCTTGATCTCGTTTGGGGTAGGCGAGATGAGCGCGAAACCATATCTTTTCCCCCTTTTCTTTTCCCCTTACTCTTCATTTTCTTTCCCTTTCTCTCCTCTTTCCCATTCCCTCCCTCCCTTCTTTCTTTCTCTCTCTCTCTCTCTTTCTTTCTTTTGCTGAGGGGGGAGGGGGAGACAAGGGCCTTTCGCCCCCGATCCACACCTTGATGGCGGTAAAAATCGCAACTGATCTCCCCTACCTTTCTTCTTCCTCTTTTTTTCTTTCCCTTTCTCATCTCTTTCCCTTCCCCTTCCCTTCCTTCTCTCTTTTTAAAGTTTGCTGGGGAGGCAAAGGCCTTTCACCCCCTACCCGAACCACATGTTGTTGGCTGGATTAATTGCATCTGACCCCCTCCATTTCTTTTCACCTGTTTCTTTTCTTCTTTCCCTTTTTTGTTCCCTTTAGCTCTTCCCTTTCCTTTTCCCTTCCTACTCTCTTTTTTTTTGTCCCCCCCCCCCCCCGAGGATCAACAAATATTGTTGGCGAGAAAATCGTAACTGATATCCTCCTTCATTACTTTTCTTATTCCTTTTCCCCCCTTCCCTTTGACTCCTCTTCTCCTTTTTTTATTTCCCTTTCCTTCCTTCCTTCTCTCTTTTTTGGGGGGAGGGGGAGGGGAGCAACAGCCTCGGAGGCAAGGCCCTCAGTTGCCCCCCCCCCCCCCCGCGCCAATCTCTTTTCCCCCTCTTTTCTTTCCTCTTTCCCCTTCCCTTCTGTTCCTTCTCTCTCTAGCTCTCTCTTTTTTGGCGGGGGAGGGGGCAGGCCCCTTCGGCCCTCCCCTGGATCCGTGCCTAGCCGTGGGTGTGACCCCCATCCAATATGTACTGAGCAGTTTTGTAATAGCGAACAGGCCCCGTACGTACTGATCGAGCTGAACAGCTTTGTAACAGCGGACTTGATAGGTTGCCTTAAAAATCAATTTACGAGCGTTCTGCGCATCCGTCTGGCAAAGTAACAGGCGTGTGCTATCGCACCTTGCATGCGCCTGCTAAATAACAGGCGGTGATTGGTCAATTTAGCAGACGTGTGCCGCGTTCCATACGTCTGGGGCACGTGAATAAAGTCACCAACGGCTTTCCATACATGCTGGGGCCAAGCAATGCAATGCACATGGGTGTCGATCCGTAACTGATACCTATTCATCAGGGGGGGGGGGGATGATCTATTCATTCATCCCCCCTGATGAATAGGTATTACGTAAGGATCGACACACATGGCAATGCATATGCATGCAATAATATACTACAGCATGCAATGCCGAAGAATAGACTCCATCGAATCTTTGGCTGACGTGCATGGGAAGAGCGAAGGCGTAAGTAAGAGTTTGTTTCGTTTTTATTTGAATACCCGTGAGTTTGTTTGATGTTTGCGTTTTAGGGGGAAAAAAGACGTAGACTCTACTTCTAATTGTTAGGTGAGCACTTATTCTAACATTACTAACATTTCTAACATTTCTAACATTACATTAAATTACTCGTGAATGAGTTAAAGAGAAGGTTGAGTTCTGGGAAGAGGTGAAAAGTAATTTGTGAATATTACTCATTCTTATTATGCAAGTATGGAAGTTAAGACATCTTCCCTGAAAAGCATGGCTCTTCAAATGCCTTCATATTCTAATTTGCATGTAACATCGTAAAAATCGGGGGGCCGACTTTTTACGCCACGTGTTCGTGTAGTCCCATATACATCTTTCTGTGCAAGTGTTTGTAATTTTACCAAGACTTGGCCAAATTTCTTATCATTTTGATGATTCCAGAACCTTGCAATACACACAAATTCTTATGTGCTAGATGATCAACCTCTTCTGGTCGGTTCCACACCGTTTCTTTCACAATGCAATCGCATGACCAGAACTCAACTTCATCTTTAAATGATTAACTCACAGGTGCATGCCCATCATCATTAATCACCAAACCAAATTATTTTATTGACTCGTAATGGTGTGTAAACAAGATTCACAATCATGAGTATGTTCAAGAATACTCATGAAGAATACTCACTTGTGTGTCATTATAGTGTCAATTGTAAAAACTCACTTATCTGCATTACAACAGGAACTAACATGGTGAGTACCAAGAGAAAAAACTAAATTGGATGAGTAAATTTTACTCATTTAGTGTGTCATTATAGTGTCAGTAAATTAACACTTGTTTATGAGTAAACTTACACAATTTTTTTTTTGTGTGCATCCTTGCCTTATCACACCACTGGTTCTCGATTTCCGGACATTTTAGCCTAGTGCAGGGGTTCTCAAACTTTTTCATTTTGACGGTCGAGATTTGATTTCTATAAAAGCTGTAAGGTCCGAAACATGGGATGCTATTCGCCTGAAAGTTCTTACGGTCGATCGTATATACTTCCAAGTCAGGAACAATGTACAATATGATTGCTGGAAAGCCGGGCACCACTCAAACATTACTCAATCTTGTTCCTAAATTAGACAATTTATTCCTAAATATTACAGTAATGACATTTGTATACTGAAGATAATGAGGCTCATTTTGGGTCTTACTGATCCAAGGAGAATTGTAACAGTTTTAAAAATAGAGCCGCCGGTGCTTCCGCTCGTTTAAATAGAGTTTCGTGAAACAGAACACCCATTTTCCTGGAATTTGATATAACTATCAAAAAGCCATTTATGTGGATTTATTTTTATTTTGATGGATTGTTATGGGGAGACCAACGTCATACGACTTGTCGTACAGTACCAGATTACGAACTTTAAATGTTGCGAGCGAGCAACAATATTTATACTTATTTAGAGGAAATGGGGTATAAAACTATATCACAGCGGCGGAATCAAAAGTCTGTATTTTCCTTTAAAAAAGGCAATTGGAGACTCTGTCCCTGGCGGTCCTGATCTTGTGGATACCTTTCACAAATTTACAGCCAGTCAAAATCAGGAACCCCCCCCCCTCCATCCCACCCCCACGGTGCGTGCTGCTATAATGACTTGGAATTTCTGAATGGAGACCTCGCCTACACCGCCAAATGAGAGCGGAATTTTATTGTTGGGGTACGTAGTCTAGCTCTCCTGGCATCACACTTAAAAGATAAAAAGAAAATATTGAATCCAAAGTTTAATAGCTCTTCTCCTTTTATGTATATAAGTAGTCAGATACTGGAACTCTCCTTATCACTTCAAATTTGTACATATTTACATTAATATCTTTTTTGAGGGCATGTACCTTGTACCTTGTACCTTGTGTTCGTCTCTTCCAAAAGGTCCGCTAGGAGCTATAACTTGAAGTATAACTTGAAGTATAACTTGGCGTGACGAGAGTATAGATTTGTGTATTTCAGGGGTTATGCTATTTGGTTGAGTTTTTGGGTTGCAGATTTGAAGACTGTGCTGGATTTGATGTCCACGTTTTGTTGAGGTATATACAGGTCATACATAGTTTTACAACTTCAGGGAAGACGGATGTGTAGCTAATCTAGGGCTTAGATAGTATAGAGACCCGCAATACGTCTGACACGGCTTTGTATCTGCATGTAAACTAGTTTATTGGCGGAGGATATTAGATACTAGAAAGGAGTCGGAGGAGGAGAAGGAGGATGGGGCTCATGACTGGAAGATAGGGAACTAGGGTTAGCTAGGGTAAGGCGGGGTAAGAGTTTATAACGAACGAGGGGGTGAATGCTACAGTTTTAAAGAAAACTTGAAAGTAGAAATTGAGAGAGAGAGAGAGAGAGAGGGAGAAAAAGAGAGGCAAAATAATGAGGGGATGAATGTTATAGTTTAAAAGTAAAATTGAATGGAGAGTGAGAGAGAGGGGGAAGAGAAGACAAACTGGGAAAGAGAAAACAGAAAGAAAGAGAAATAGAGAGAGAGAGAGAAATAGAGAGATTGAAAGAGAAAAAGACACACTCACACAGAGGAAAAGAGAGAGATAGAGAGAGATAGAGAGAGAAAGGGAGAATGAGACGAGACGAGACAGACGAGATATTGATAGAAAGAGGCAGAGAGGTGGGGGGGGGGGGTATAATGAGAAAAAAGGGGGAACAACTAATTAACTAACAAAAAGCCTTATGGCATAAAACTAAGGAATATACACGCTTCAATCATTATCCGAAGTCATATTTCACCCAAGATAGCTAGGTAACAGTGGACAGGATGTAGAAGGGAGGATGCAAAATGTGTAATGGGGGAGGAGGCGGCATTATGTGTCCCATGCCCCCCACGACCCTCGGTGCCGCCTCTACATAACAACAAGGAGTGAAATTACCTCATCATCTATCTTCCCCTTTAGCATCTCGACTACAGCGCCTAAGGTCACTTTGTAGCAAACAGCATGCAGTCGAGCCCGCATCCTTCCCATTCCATACGGGCAAGCATTCGTATAGCTAGAGAGAAAGAGAGAGAGAGAAGCAGTGAGCAACAGGGAGGGCAACGGAGGAGGAGTTGTGTGTGTTAACTTATAGAAGGGCACTTGTACTGTAGACAGCATGGCTAGGAGACGGTAGTGCTATCAAGTAGCTTAGAGATCGGAGATTGAGAACCTTTCATTTTTTCTTCTATTCTACGATCTTGTACATGTCGGAATCACAGGTAAGAAGATGTTGATTTTGTTTTCCGTATATTACTTTTGTTTCTCCTGTTATTTTCTCTTTTATGATGCTCATGGTAGCACAATAACAGATACATTGGTGTTTTTCGTTTTGTGGGGATTTGTTTGTATTTTTGTATGGCATTTTTTATTTATTCAGGACATTGGCAAGTAACCAGAAAGCCCTTAATAAAGAGAAGAGAGAATTTAAATAAGGAAAAGGAAGAAAAAGGCGGTTACACAAACTGGGAAGTTGAAAGCAACGCTCAATACAGGATTCTGATTGGTTGAAAAACTGCGTTTACTGTTTTGAGCTATGTCTGTTTAAATTCCCACAACAATGATAATGTTAAATGATGTTTACAGAAAGTATACGATTCTGTTTCGGTGAACTATTACAGCCTCATGGAAAGCACTTAGTATACTGTAGGCCTAACATTACATTGTCTACTCCGACTTATCAACCGTTCCTCCTTGCGAGGCAATAGTGGCTCATTTATCTTATGGTACGAAAACTTTCACAGATAGCCTCCCATATTCTCATTATAATCCATCTTAATTCATCTTAAAACTCGGCCAAATTCTTTCCAACTACTAAGAACAAATGAACAGCCCAAAACCCGGTTGGCGCCACGTAATGAGCTATGCCATGTGTTCGGATATCAGGTCCCGATGTGAACATTAGGAGTCGTTTGACCTCTTGACCTATGTGAGGTTATATACACACTCGTGCACGTGTGGAAATACCTCAGCGCTATCACGCGTGCTGGGGATACGCCGAAACGAAAGCGGTGGACCGTGCAGTCGGTATGACTGGTCATTGGGGAAACTCTGCCAGAGTGTCCTATCGTATTGTAGTGTTGGATCGGATACAGGTCTAGCTACACAGAAAGGATGAAATGGGGCTAGTAAAATTTGACAGCCGCTGATAGGGGCTGCGATCTGTGGGGGGGGGGGGGGACGGGGGGACACGTCCCCCCCCCCCCCCATTTTTTAATTTTTTTTGTTGTTTTGTTTAGGGGGGGGCGGAAAATTTGAAAAAGTGCAAAAATAAAATGCATAGCAAATACTGACTAAAGACTGCAACACAACTCTGGAGGGCTACGCGCCCTTGCATATCCTTCACAATGTACAAGTAAATATTGCAATTCGTCCCCCCTCGGTTATGAAAAGAAATCGCCGCCCTGCTGGCCGCTAATGTCCGCCGGATGTCCGCAAAGGTGACCTACAGATAGCAAAACAGCAACTAATATAGGGGGGGGCATAATTTCCAATAAGGATCTATCTTTTGTATGTAGCTCGATAACAAGTGACACAAATTTAGCTTGTGTGGAAGGTCTAGGATTACATCTCTCTGGTAAGTGATAGTACATATGTATCTACTAAGGGCGCGTTCATGCTTGATTTTGAAGGCAGAATGAGCGATTTGTAACGCTCATCGTAAACGCTCATCGTAATCGCAGTTCCACGGTGCACTGTTCATGCTCACTTCTCCAGGCAATTCTCCTTGGGTGGCCTTCAGCTGGATTCGCAAACCTGTGTGCGCATGCTACGTAGACCCACTAGAGGTCAGTGCGTTGACCCCATTTAAACGCGTTTACAAATTGTAAACGCATCTTTTTGTGAGTTTACGATCGGCGATCGTGATCGCCGTTTTTCGGTGATTCTACAAAAGTGAGCATGAACGCAATCGTGTTTTAAACTAAACGCGTAACATATGCCTGATTCTGGCCGTCAAAATCAAGCATGAACGCGCCCTTAGATATGCCTATGCTCGGTTCATGTATATACGTCATACATATCAGTTACATAGCACATGATAAAATACAAATATATACTTCCATGAGAGGCTCTGGTTAGAACTATAATGGTCCCAAGGTGACTGCAATAATGCTATTGCAGTCCCAGAGGTCGAGGGACCATATATCGTTTTAAATCCAGAGACTCGAATAAAGCTTAAAGGCAGTATGTATTCGTTTTACATACCTCATTCATTCATTATATTCACTGTCCATTGATTGGTTAAAAGATTTTGCTGTAAGAATTTTCACCGGTATCCATTTTGTTGTTGTTTTGATTTTCGTTGGTGGGAAATGCCCGAAATGAACTCTGCACCATCGATCGTCTGCGCGTAAGGCCAATCACAGGGCCGACATTGCAAGCCTTAAAGTTTGCAGCGATCATTCATAATTATAGGATGTAAACAGAATGTCGTATTCTCATACTCAACGTCAAAGTTCGATTTACTTTTATACTTTACGTACTGCGACACGAGTTAATGTGTTTTTGCTAGCCGTAAATAGTACTTTTTGCACAATTGTGTGTTTATTTTTGATCATGTGAGTACATGTGACACACTTTGAACCAATCAATAAACAAGAATATATGAATTACGATATACTACATTTATAACGCTCCACGAAGAGAGGAGAACGGTCGAGGGTTAGAAAATATTCACATCATGGCCCATCATTGCTTTATGTCAATATGTCTCTATGCTTGCTGCACGAAGTACATTTTCCGTCTAAAAAAACACAAACTTAATCGCGATATTGACCTCGAAGGATAATTTCTTTATTTTGTCATATAGTCCGTCCCTGCTTGAGTTTGCAGGTACCCAATTGAATGAAAAATCAGACGATTTCGTTCGGACGTGGATATATTTCGCTGAGACTAAGTTTGGCTCCACCGAACCCCTCAAGCCTCAAAAGTGTTAAGAAGCCAGTGTACAATCGCGAATAAAACTCACTTGAGGTCACATTATTGATGTCAATTCGTCGCGAAAGCAGGTCCTGGAAAATTAATCTTAAATAGGTCGATAAACTTGGTTCGCTGCTGCTCAGATATACTGCAGGCTTCCTTAAATTTTCTAAGCAATATAGTTTTTGTAGACTTTCCGGGCCTTTTCGAAATTTCATAAAAAGTTCTCTAACTCACTGAGTTTTTTTTGTGCGTACAATACCTGCCAGTATCAATATCTTTAGTTGGAGAGAGTAATGAAAAGTCACCTCATCAAATTTCACCCCATCTGTTACGGACATCGGCGGTCATGGCTCTCCATTTCTGTTTATTATCTGTTATTCTTCAAAAACTGGTATTGCTGATTTTATTATCATTGACAATTTGTTCAGGCTTTACAAAATAATATGTGAGGCGTCGCCTTGCCCTGCTTCTCTTTCCAGCAATCTTCCCTGTTAATATTGTTTGTTAAAGATTATTCTTCCTGTATGATATTATTATGTGGCCCACAAATTGCACTTGCCTCTTTCTTACTGTGTTGATGAGTGATGATTTTACTCTTGCTTTTCTAAACGATTCTCCATTTCTTATCTTTTCTGTACATTATTCAGTGCGTCCCAGAAAAAAGGAAACCGAGAAGTATCGATGTTCTATCATAACTTAATCACAACTATAATCAATAAATGATACATATTTGGAAAGCTTAGAGTCTCCTCTTTCATGTGATGCTACTCAGATAATGCATATTTCACGCATGAGTGATTAAAAGCAATTTTAAGGAAGGAAACCAAAAAGACATTTGGCGGGCGGTATCTGAATTTCGAAGAAAAATGTACATTTCTAGAAAGTTGAGTTTCTGCCCTTTCATATGACACCTTAATCAGAAAAATGAGCGAGGAATGACAAAGTCCTGTTTTTTTAAAGTAGTGCTTGCATTTCCATAATTTTATTAAACGAATTCGTTTTCACTGGCTGCCTGCCGTATCAAAAAACGAAATTAACAAAAGACTTAACTCCGTTTCGTTGACAATCAGCCGTAGACGAGAGTCTTCATGCATGGCTGATTGTCAACGAAACGGAGTTAAGTCTTTTGTCAAATCTGCTTTTTGCTACGGTAGGCACCCAGTGAAAACGAATTCGTTTGTTAAAATTATGAAAATGTAAGGGCTACTTTAAACAAACAGAACTTTGTTATTCCTGGCTCATTTTTCTTGATTGAGGTAGCACATGAAAGAGCAGAAAATGAACTTTCTAGAAATATGAATTTTTCTTTGAAATTCAGATACCGCCCGCCAAATGTCTTTTTGGTTTCCTTACTTCAAATTGCTTTGAATTACTCATGCGTGAAATATGCATCAGCTTTCCAAATATGTATCATTCATTAATTATGGTTGTGATTAAGTTATGGTAAAACATCGATACTTCTCGGTTTCGTTTTTTCTGGGACGCACTGTAATTATATTTATAATGTATTTTTCAAGAACCAGATATTTGTAGCCTCTAATCTTCTTTCAAGCTCTTTCTTTATCGTCCAACACTCACGTCTGTAGAGAAAACTGATATACGACTTTAAGACACGGATTTTGGTTTTCATAGTAATGTTCTTGTATTGCATCACGGATTTCTGCATAAAGTAAGGCCATCGTATGAACATTGCTATTGATATGCTGCAGAGATGTCCACATGGTAACGGTGATGATAAATCGCAAATAATTAAATGGTAAGCCAGACCACCGAGTGAACATGGCTATTGGATAGCTGCAAGGTTAAGGGTGTCTACACGGTGACTTCCAAGTTATAACGGGCATTCTAAATCATCATGAACACGGCTATTGAGATTCTGCAATGGAAATGAACATGTTGGCAGTGCCGGTGTCGTGCGAGTAATTAGAGCTACGTGATTGTAAACAGGTAAAGTTAAACCATCGTGTGAACACGTCCACTGAGATGCTGTAAGGATAGACACACGATGACGCATAACTGAGATGCCATCACTATCGGGGACTCCCACATGGAGAATGATTTAACGAGAGTACAAGGAGGAGAGGAGGGTGTAACTAGAGAAGGGGCAAAAGGTGGGATGGGGCGATGCTGAGGCGGGGATACCCGCCGTCTCGGGCCGGAGGTGTTAATTGCCAGCGTGTATGTTTTTTGTTATTGGGGGGGGGGGGGGGGGGGGGGAGGAGAGGGGGTGATGTCGGGTTTTAACTAAGCTACTATAAATCAATGAACTGTTAGTGAGATTATTCCTTCCTACACCAGTGTACATATTCCTTTATCCCAGAGAGGAGGGTAACTAGAGAAAGGGTAAAGGGCGGGATGGGGGCGATCGATGCTGAGGAGGGGATACCCACTGTTCATAAAACCAAGGAGGTAGGATTATAATGATATAACACGTCGTCTCATTGCATAGGTGCCACTTGCTTAGGCCTAAGCGAGATGACGGTGATGTGTATGAGAGTGAGTAGTAAAGATGTATAGAGGAGTATAGGAAGGAAATCTGGTGGACGGGAGCAGCGTAAGGGGTCCATGTACTGTCTGGAGCTTGGAGGGGCGGATCAACACCCCCATGGCAAAAAATCTCTCCAAATACACTGTCGCTCATAAAGTTGGAATATTTTTTTTTACCCCAATTTATGGAATAATTTTAAAAAATAATTTAAAAATAATAGATCTAGATAATAGTATACATTCTCAGATTTTATTGAATAATAATTTGACAAAGTGTGTTTTGCGTGACTGCTAAAGCATGTGTATGCTAATATGTTTATCAATTAGGGGACCTACGCCCTTAAGTCATAAATGACATTAATGAGGATTAATGCCCCACAAAAGGGCACTAATATAGCACATCGACACGGTTTTGATCCTGGGGCCTCACAGTTGCGAGGCAATTGCTTTGTCGCCGAACAATGACTGTACGCAGCGGGGGCTAGGGTAGGGGGCAGTTTCCATAAATAAAAAAAACAAAGAAAATGCAATGAATTTTCAATAATTTATTGCATTTTACCCCGGTTCCCAAGATAACAAAATCCTCTGTGTGCCCATACCTTGAGCCATAATGCATAGCTGTCCAGAGGATTTTTTTATGTTGGGGACCGGGGTAAAATGCAATATATTGTTGAAAATTTATTGCATTTTCTGGGGGGGGGGGGGGTAAGAGGACACTTTTTTTTGGGGGGGGGGGTCTCGAAATTTGACCATTTTGTTCCAATGGAATGCCTCTAATTCCATAAAAACTTTATTGTCTTAACAATATTTTGCGATCCAAACAATCGAATGCCTTGCTAAGGTCTACATACACTCCTAAAGCTATCCCTTTTTTTTCATAAAACTTGTACAAAAGTTCGGATGCAAAAAGTAAAGCTGACTCTGTTAAATAACATTTTCGAAACCCAAACTGTTCCGAAAAAATAATTGAATGCTTATGAAGGAAAGTAGATAATCGATTGTACATTAGTCTTTCTAAAATCTTAAAAACAGTCGAAAGAAATGATATTGGGCGATAGTTCGATAAATCATGTATATCACCTTTCTTTTAAGGTATGACTTTTGAAACTTTCATTGATTCAGGAAATGTTCCAGACACAATTGATAAATTAAACACATGGGTTAAGTGTTCAATAATATACGAAATTAACTTCTTTATAACGTATGGTGACATATTATCGACCCCACATGAGTGTTTATTTCTCTGATGAAGATCAAAAAGTTGTTGTTACAACTCTGAATTCCAAACTTACCAAAGTGAGTAAATGGATGAATCTGTCTAATAGAACACAATTTGTAAAATTTAATGAATCTAACTCTGAATTGCTATTAATGAAGCAAGGTGTTCCTCAAGGTAGTATCTTGGGCCCGTTATTATTTTTGCTCTTCATAAATGACATTGTTGAGTCTTCAAGGAAATTACATTATGTACCGTATGCCGATGACACAAACATCTTCTATTCTGGTAAAAATTTGAATGACTCAATTTTCGAAGCCAATGTTGAACTTCAAAAGGTTGCTAGCTGGTTTTCAGCAAATAAACCAAAACTTAATCAGACCAAAACAAAGTTCATGATATTTAACTTTGGCAAAAACATGATACTTTAATTGAAAATGTTAATCTTGACCAGGTACAATTTGCAATTTTTTTAGGAGTTGCCATTGACAACAAATTTACATGGGAAAAACAAATTGAATTAATTTCCAAGAAGATTCGGTCCCAAGTTGGTGTAATGAATAAGCTCAAAAATTTTCTACCATCCTCTATCATGCTTTCCCTATACTATTCACTCATATATCCTTACCTTACGTACTGTAATTTAGTGTAGGCGAGAACGTTTAATAAATTATTAAAGCCCCTTATCATACTTCAAAAGCGGGCTGTTCGGTTGTGCTGCAACGCTTCCTTCAGGGCGCACACCTCTTCATTGTTTAAATCCTTAAATTTACACAAACTTCCAAATATTCTTTCTCAAGGGACTTTATTGTTTATGTACAAACTCAAAAATGATTTGTTACCAGTAACGTTTCATGACAGTTTTCATTTGAACTCGGATGTCCAATCCTTTAATACTAGAAAACAGAATGACTTCCATCCACCAAAATTCACTAACTCATTTTTGCAAAATAAATCAATTAGATATCAAGGTCCTCACAAATGGGACTCCATGTCAAGTCATTTAAAGGGTGTTACGAACCACAACGCATTTAAACTTAAACTGAAAAGAACAATACTTGCCACTTATTGATTTATTGAAATACATAATTGATTCATATATTTTGTTAGTATGTAACATTATTATTATTGTATTGTATCGTATTTCATCGTATTGTATTGTATAGTATCTATATGTTTTTATAATTGGGGTTGCTTGTTTACAAGTTTTTAATTTATTTTAGCAATCCCGGTATTTATAATGATTTCATTTGTAATGATTTCATTTTGATGTTTTTATCTTTTGCCGAATAAATGTGAATTTGAATTTGGAAAACAAAAATTGAATTTGACATTGTAAATGAGTAACTGATATCGGCTACTATGTTTATTTTATTAAGTATAATCACACTCTGGCCAACGTACGTATGAACCTGGTCAATTTTTAATGACTTCGTCGCTTTTTGGGCTAGGTGTCAAACCGTTGTCCCCACGTCTTGTTTCGTTCAAAAATCATTTATCTTTCGTGGATTATATTTTAGTTGAGATCAGACCAGGGGGTGTTTCACTAAGCCCTAAAATCGATCTAAAAATCGATTTTATCAATTTTAAGGGCTTAAAATTGATAAAATAATCAATTTCTCTTCTTTGATATAACACCCGAAACATGCTCTACGAATCACTGCCAGAACCTCACTTTTTCCAAATAAGTGGATGGTTTTTTACCTACACGTAGGGGTGTAGCCCAACCTCGATATAGAGGCAGCCGAATATACCAGTGTCAGAACTTAGGGTGTCGGAACATAAGGTTGTTGGAAAAAGGGGTGTCGGAACAAAAAGAGGTGTTAGAATAAAGGGGTATCGGAAGACAGGGGCGCCGAACATACGGATGTCGGAACAAAGGGGGTCCGCAGATAGGGGTACATGAGGTCATCCTCAATCTAAGAGCATCGGAACTTCCGAGTGTCAGAATAGAGCTGCGGAAAATAAGAGGTGTAGGAATAGTAATGATTCAGTGAAATGTGTTCATCATATCCTTTAAGAGTCAGAAGGCCGTTATGTGTTAAATGGTATTAGTTAACGCCCTTCTGCCTAATAGATGGCACAATGTATATTAAAGGTAAAGACCAGTATTGGAAACGCCCCAATTTCAAAAAATGAAATGGAAGCTCTCATTACCAATCATGTGAAAGAATATGTTTTGACTAATACATGATGATAACAAATTTGCCGGGAAACCGCCTACTAATTCATATATTTGGTAATTTTTTTCTCTCATAGTCTGTGAGAGATATAGGGTAGTCCCATATACATCTTTCTGTGTATAGTGCTTGTACCTTTACGAAGAATGGGCCAAATTTCTTATCATTTTGATGATTCAAGAACCTTGCAGATGCTAGATGGTAGATGATCAACATTTTTTGATCGATTCCACAACGTTTCTTTCACAATGCAATCGCATTACCATAACTGGTCTTTACCTTTAATGTTTGATAATAATTGCTTTAGGATAGATGGCGTGTTTTCCTGGCCGAGAAACTGGTGGCGGAACCATATACTTTACACGCATGTATAACGACGACTTTGCGAGATGATCTAATGCAAGACGACCTTCTCATCACGTCGACCGGTATTGAATGTTATTTGTGTGCATGGGTGTCGGTCCTTACGTAATACCTATTCGTCAGGGGGGGGGGGGATGAATGAATAGATCATCCCCCCCCCCCCCTAATATCAGTTACAGATCGATCGACACCCATGTTTGTGTGCATTCGCACACCATATCGTTGCTCTGTCTGTCACTCTATCGTCTACTTGCCGTGTCATTTCAAGAGTGTCGGCTGTCTCACTTTCCATTCTGTTCTTTATTTTTATTCTTCCAGGAGACTTAGACAGTCGAGTTGTTATCATCAAGAATGGTCGAGTTACACCCGGCAATTGAGCTGCCGCTAGCTGCGGATGAGCTAGAGGAGCTAGCAGGGGACATGAAGGATCGGGCCTATGCCATGGGGGTGTTGATCCGCCCCTCCAAGCTCCAGACAGTACATGGACCCCTTACGCTGCTCCCGTCCACCTTTCCGAGGGACCTCTTCCACAAGGCCATGGAGTTACAGGCCGATATCAATCTACTTATGCTGGGAATAAGCAAAGACGATGCCTTCCTTTATTCAGCACTTAAAAGGTATAGATTCTCAACCAAAATATTGCTTCCCCCGGGAGCCCCTCAGTCTTATATTTTGACCACAATATTATTCCCATTTGCAGGCCAAAAAAATTAAAAGCTTAAATTCCGCCGACATTTGAAAGACAATACGTATTTAGAACTTCCCTCAAAACGAAAGGGCTTGAAGATGGCTTTTACTCGGAAAATAATGACCGTTAGGCAAACAAAAACAAATAATTTGGTTATCCTCGCCCGCCAGCTCGTCATTTTCGGGCCGCTCGTATTTTTTTATTTTTTTAATTCAATATTTTTAAATTCATTTTTTTTTTTGAGGGAGCTATCTTAAATGCCAAACATACCTTTTCGTGCATTTGCAAGGGTCAAAATGCGTCCCGTTGCCAGTTTGGTCTTTTCAGTACGCAATTCTGTATTTATTAAACTTGCCATATTTATTTTTCTATGTCAAAATGCCGTTCTTTCAAATCAGGTTCTGAGCATTCTTAAACTCATTTTAAAACCCATCTGTACTAGTTTACAGGAGGGATTAGACCACCCTGCAAGGGCACTGGACAGGTGATTATCTCATAAAATCAGCTCTCAGTTAACATAAGATAAAGAGGATCATGGGGGAGAAATGGTCACCGATTAGAGGGCGCAAGTAGCTATAAGTAGTACAATGGAGATTTAAAAGGTGCTTAAACTAGTCTTTTACCATATTAATGTGTTTTATAGACTTTGTTTGTTTGTTTTTCATGGAAAAAAATCATTTAAACAAAAATTTTAAAATGGGGGGGGGATTTTTTTTTTTTTAAAGACACACAACAAATGAAGTTTAAAAAAAAAAAAAAAAAAAAAAATCCGCCCGCCCCTACTCCAGAAAAGCAATCGAGGACAACCAAAACATTTTTTTGTTTGGCCTTAGTTGTCGAATCGACTTAAGTGATTGCAATCATCTAAGTAATAGTCTGATTTTCAGACCCTTTTACTGAATGGTCGTACGTTATGTGCTGCACAAAGTTTCAATCAATTTGATCTTGGCCATTACAAGTAGAGGTTATTGATGTAGACAAATGCTCATATAGCTGTTGCAGCTCACTTTATGTATGTTATTACCAAAGAAAAAAGATGTCAGTCAGTCACTCAATAGTGCCTGGCAGTGAAGTCTAGAAGGTGAACGGGTTTTCTTGCATAATTTGAATACTAGAACACTGCTAATGTTTAAATTTCACAGATAGGACATACATGGCATATTCATAATGCCAGCAAAGTTCTAAAGATCTGAATTTGATGTTGGCTGCAAAAGGGACATAGTATCTTTAAAAGAGGGAATCACATTTTTTCTTCAAAAGACACATTAATAATCATCAAAATTGTCATGGAAGGCTCGCATTGAATCAATAAATCCTCAAACTTGTGGCAAGTAAGTCCTAATCTTTCATTCCCCCTATACGTCTTCCGTCTATTTTACACAATTATCTTTTTTGATGATAGGATGTGCGAATGCTAATTATGATAATCTACATTCGATGTAGTGGCGAGAAGGACGTATACAGTTTTTTTTGTAGCAGGCACCAGCCCATATTTTCCCTGCCTATTACGCAATTCTATTTTAACAATCTCACGCCCTTTACAATACTGCATCAATTCAATACTGCGCTTTAATCAATTTGGTGAAATCACGTTGATTCAAGGCCATGACTATATGCACTCTTCAGTTTGTCCAGTAGTGCTGTGTTTGTGCCATCGAACTGGATCGACCAAATCAATCGATTCATAATATATATATATATGCAATATTTTTTCCCGTAACATGAGAGTAATTTTAATAGTTTCATACTATTGATTAAATGTAATGTTAACTGTTATTGTATAATTGTTTTAAATGGGAGAACGCTACAAGAGTCCTATCTCGCACCCCGGGGCAACGTGTCTGACACGGCCGGTTGTAGCAACTACTCCGAAGATCAAGATTACATTAATCTTGATCTAAGGAGACACGAACGAACGAAGTTTGCAATGACTTTTTTATTCGTGAGATTTCAGTCTCACATGCGTCATAGTGCGTCAAAGCCCGCCCCTTTTAAAGACGCACCCCTACGTCAGAAAAATGACGCTTCATCTGCAGCGGACATTATCCGTAATTGTCGTACGTCACACTGTTTAGATATAGATATGAATATCAATGGTATCTTGCAATTAGAAAACAACTCTTCTTGAAAATAAGGGTTATGAAGATTTCTCATGGAAAGAATAGAATTCAACTTAGAAATGCGTTTCGGCCTTCATTTATTTGTAAATGTGTTACAGTTCAAGTTTTACTTGATGGGTAAAAACGAAACAATTTCCTCGAACCACCTTATACACATCAATTAAAAAATCTGTAAACAAATTAATCGATAGATCAAAAAACAAATCAGTAAGCTAAGCAAATAAAAGATAATTAAAAACAATTCACAAATCAATGAACATTTCCTAAAGCATTCAAGTACTACTTCGACCACTTCAAGACGTTAGATAATACCTTTCAACCATTTTACTTGACACCTCTTTATGAGCAGACATACTCAAACAAAATTTCGTCTTGCGACACATCAGAGTAGATTGTAATGATAAAGAGAAAATAATTTAAATCCATGTTTTATTTTTTGCAGTGTTGTCCCAGTTGACGAGTTCACAAGACGTCTGTATGAGATGCACTTACAAGTAAAGAAAGAAGGAAACATCAAGGTGAGTGACAATAAGCAAGGCTAAACTGGCTTTTAATCGGATTTCACGTTTCGAAGTTTTGTTGTTTTGTTACTTTCCTTGTTGGGGCTAGAAAACACATCATTGTAAAATATCCATCGGACAATTATTGTTGAGTAAAGCACAGTGTAAATACATATTAACAAATAAATGGTGAAATCGTGATAAAATGGTTGTGAGAAGCACAATCATTTTGTATTGTGGTATTGAATTCCTATGGGATCACCCGTGTAAGGTTTGAGAATAACGATGGTTTTAGAGTTATTCGAACCGGTGTGCCCCCCCTCCCCCAATTTGTAGGCGCAGAAGAAAAAACAATATGCAACGTACAAGGGCAGTGGGTCTATAATGATTAAGGGCTGAAAAAGATCGGTACATTCTCGTCACCATCGTCATCATCATCATCATCACCACCACCATCACCATCATCACCATCATCATCATCATCATCACCATTATCATCATCATCATCGTCATCATCACCACCATCACCATCATCACCATCATCATCATGATCATCACCACCATCACCATCATCACCATCATCGTCGTCGTCGTCATCATCGTCATCATCATCATCATCATCGTCGTCATCCTCGTCATCACCACCATCCTCATCATCATCTTCACCATCATCATCAGCATCACCATCATCAACATCACCAACATCATCATCATCACCATCATCATAATCATCATCATCGTCGTCATCATCGTCATCATCAAGAGCAAGGTCTAGTACAGACATCGGCGGTCAAATAAGGTGTAACACAACTTTGTCTCACGCGTCTCATTATTGGTATGAACTGATTGATATATTTCCACCAGTATGGTGACGTCTACCCCCAATACGCTTTTAACAGAAACCGCATATGTCTTCCCCAAAGTCTCTCCTTTCTTTCCCTCAAATAAATACAAGTTCTACGGGTCACGTCCTTTTCAGGTTGCATCAGCAGAGCATTGGAATAAACCGCCAGAATATTTTCAAAAATTGTGATACTGTTGAAAACTTCCAAACACGTCTTAAAATGTTTCTTTTTAGATAAAATTTACTAATGTTAACTAATGACTTAAGAAAGTATGCTAAGAGTCTCTCTTCTCTATTCTTTTTGTTTCCTTTTCTCCATTACAGCGCACAGGGGCATATTTTTTCTCCATAAATTATACGCAATAATAGTATGGATTATATTATTATTATTACTTTTAACATTTTTATTATCATTATTATTCTGATTAATAGATCACCCCAATAACCCAGTAACAGTAGATAATTACGAATGCATTTGCCATGCAATGCCGTTGAGAATTCTGCTCCCCCCCCCCCCCCCCCCCCCCGTTTACCAATTTCTGGAAACGCCTCTGTCTGCACCAGTGCCTCCTACTCTATACTTGTCGTGTCCAGATCGAGCTAAGTGAAGACCCATCTGTGTACGTTTAGTGATATGGGCAGTATATGTTTGCTTTGGCCATTATAATCCCTTCTTGTTTTGCTAAGCTAATTCTTCCTGACATATCCATCTATCAGATTTTAGATGACGACAGATACAATCAGAACGCCCCCTCCATGACTGTATAAAGCACGGGAAGGTGGGTGTGGGTGGGAATGTGTGTGGATGTTCCAAGATTGGTAAACTCGGGAAGTTCTTAACCAACAGTGCATGCAGCAGAACGACTCGTTCATGCCTTAGTGTCCTCCCACCTTGACTATTGTAATTTTGTTACTATTATGGTTTACCAGACTTATACATTCTGCCTTTCAACGTATCCACAACACCACTGCAAGATTAATATCCCGTACCCGAAATATTATCACGTTGCCCAGTAATAATGCGTTCTCTTCACTGGCTCCTGGATTCTCAACGTTCAGTTTTACTCCTCACGTGCATACCAAAACATGGACATAATGCCCCTTCTTACATCATCGATCTCTTATCCCTCAAGACACCTGCATCTTCTTTATGAGACTTTGCTTCTCTTCCAATGCGGGGTCCCCTCGCTAGTCATAAGGACTGCTATTCATAACGACCGCTATTTGTAAGGACCGCTATTCACGAGGACCGCTATTCATAATGACCGCTTTTCATAATGAACGCTATTTATAAGGTCCGCTATTCGTAAGTACCGCTATTCATAAGGACCGCTATTTATAAAGTGTCCCTTCTTCATGTTTATGAATAGCGACCCCGATTTCGTATTATGAATAGCGGTCCTTACGAGTAATATATATAACTATTATTAATATTATTATCATTGTTATTATTATTGTTATTATATAAAGGGTCCTTCTATTGTCATTTATTAATCTTTTCTCTTGATCTTTTCAATAGCCAGTGAACCTTTGCATCAATCGGACGGATTACATGCTAGACTGCTGTAAGGAGATTAATGATGGTCCTGATCTTGATCTGTCTATGGTAGAGATTAACACCATAGCAGCAGGGTGTCCGGCTCTCAGTACCAGATTAGTAGATGTACACAGGTAAATAATTAGAATAATGTTGATGGTGATAATAATAATAACAATACCACCACCATCACATCTACTACTTCTACTACTACTAATACTACTACTTCTACTACTACTACTACTACTACTACTTCTACTACTTCTTCTATTAATATTACTACTACTATTACTACTACTACTACTACTACTACTACTACTATTTCTAATAATAATAATATTACTACTACTTCTACTTCTACTACTACTTCTACTACTACTACTACTACTTCTACTACTAATGTTGGGTTTTTCGAATATGCAAACTGCGATTGGAGATTACCGACATATGCATGTACTATTGAACGAAAGTGTTAGGGTGGGGCACTCTTCGCCTTCTAGCAGTGCGTTTAAGCAGTCTGCAGACACGGACTCTAATTTGACCCTTTACCTCCGTTCATAACGCCTTGAGCAGAGCCTACTTGAGCAGAGCTTACATTGTAGCTCTGTCAGTCTCTGGTTGTGTCCGGAGCAGCTACAGTAAAGAGTCTTATTATGCTGTATATAGCTTACAGTGCAGAAAAGCTAAGGGTTTGTGCCTTCAGACTAACGATTGAGCGCGGTCGAAGCTTATAAAGAAAGATGGAATTTTCCGGGGAATTTTTATTACCCAAAAGGGTCGGTCAAGGAATGCAATGAGAATAGGACCATGAAGTTAGCGCTCCGTGCCAACACTACCTAAGTCATTTCAAAGTGATTTTGTCTCTCAATTGGTTTTTGAAAATGGTGAAATTGTTTTGATTGTAAACTACGTAAGTCTACAGGAGTAACAGGAATATTGAAAATACACGAAAACATATTTGGCTATGTAGGCCTACACATATACGATTTAAATTCCTTATCAAGTAGGTTCTATTTCCTCGGTATATGCATGAAGTTACCAAGATTGATTAGCACATATACGTATTGATATATATATATATATATATATATATATATATATATATATATAGCGTTTAGAGACTTCGGTGGTAAGCGCTTTATAAGTAACGTTTTTATTATTATTATTATTATATGGTTTGAGTAGAGTTGGCTACTCACGAGGTGAAAACCCGGTAGACCGACAGCCCACGAGACTGACAGTCTACCGACGACCAACAAGACCGACAATATTAGTCTCGTTAACCCTCTCAAAGGGTTCATGAAACCGACATGGCAGCGTTGTCGAATGTTGGTCTTGTGGGCTGTTTTGAACCATATAGATACAGTTAGTTTGCGACTCCCGAAATGATCCTTAAAATATATTACACGACTGGAATGGTGAGTCATGAATTACAGTCTCGATTTTTAAACAGACACATATTTTCCTCCTGCAATGTAGATATAGTTTAGAGCAGCTTGGTATGAACAGAGAGAAGGTGTTAGACCGTGTACCAGGCAACTACGGGATGGAAGGGGTCGCAGATGGGATGGTGACGACATGGAGATTATACGGTGAACCCAAGTGAGTTAGACATTCTTCTGAAATTGTTGTCCCCGGAAATATTTAGGGGTGAGCCAACAAAAAGCCAACATTGGCATTGGCTGGAATAAAACGTATAAGGCGCTATCTCGTTTTTTCAACGGCTGGTTCAAAGTTATCGAATATTTGTGGGGCCCCACAAATATTAGAAATTGCTATATTTACGGATAATTCAGCAGTCTCTGAGCCGATTATGATCAAACAAAGATGATTTTGTCGTTTAAATTGTATTCTCTTTCAAATTTGACACTTAGTTTTTCATTATCTCATAAAAAATATAAAAATTATTTTGTGTAGCGTCCTTTATACCCAAACTCAACTATCCGTTTAAGGCACCAAAACTTAATGTAGCTTTGAGGTAAATTTCCATTCTTCTCAAGGACTACTGAACATAATCAGGATATTCAGTTTTATGAAAAGCTCTCTTTCCACGCTTTATTTGACTCTTAGAGCAGTCATTGTATTCATTGTGACATCGGAAGAAAGCAACAAATTTGATCAGAGGTGGATGGAGTATGGTATCAAGGCAATGGATGATGGGGCGAAGGTCATTAGAAGGACACTCACAGAGATAGGCGAACGAGCCGAGCTTCGGGGAAACGATAGACGATTGTTCATGTGAGTTTAAACAATTTCATCCTTTGTGTTTCAACTTTCAAAGCTTGTATTTCCCTTCATAGGGTATAGAGTGGTGAAGTGTGACGTCATCAAAAAACTATTTTTAGAATTTCTCATTTTTGTCTTCATTTTCCGAAAGAGCATCAAAAATAATGTCTGAATGCCGTAAACCAATTGAATATGTTAAGTGTTGGCTGAGATATGATTATCTGAATAAAAAAATATCCTATAGGAACTCAGTGTTATTTGCTCTGGCTCCTAACCATAACGAGCCAGAGCATATAACACTGAGTTCCTATAGGAAATATATGAAGTAAGAGAAAGAACTCAAGAGAAGATGAAAACACTGGCACTGAAAATGTGTGAGATGTCATGGGACATCGTCTGCTTGTGCAAGTCATGTCCATACTGTGATCTCACACATCTCAGCAGCGTTCGTAGAACTCTTCAGGTGCTATGCCGGGGCTGTATTTAAGCGTTTTGTAATTTATAATAATCATTACTTCGAATGTTTCCAAGCATTGAATTTTGATAACCTTGTCGAATCAAAGTTTCAACTTTGCAATAATGAAAATAAAGTTAGTTTTTAAAATCAATGAATATCTACTTTAAGATTTCAAAAGATTTCTTTGATCTGTGTCGACTCATATCGAAGGATAGCCAGCCCCGCCGATATACTAGGGGCTTACGTGTTGTGGTTATGGCGGGCGGAACGTGCCATATTCATTACAACTATACATCCATCGAGTAGATGTATAGTTTTAACCAATCAGAACGCATGAAACTGTAGTACTATACGGCCATGCATCCATCGAACGCATGTATAGTTTCCAGCGTGCGGGACGACTATACGACTATACCGCCATCGAATGGAATTCATCATAGTTTGCTAAGCATTTATGAGCGTCTGTAAATTGACGCTTGGCTAGAATGCTCACCAGGGAGTGAAAATGTGTGTGCATTGAGATGATTGTGTACGGCCAAGCCTGACTCCGATTACGGGGTTATAGTCAAGGGCGTCGAGACATCGTCGATGTATTAAGCGCTAATCAACGTGGCAAGTAGATAACATCAGTCTAACAAATCATATCGTTTCTCCTCCTCTTTCACTATTTCAATATTCCATTCTAAATACAACTACCATTCAAAGAAACTGACGGGCAACTTTGTGCTTCATCTTCGCCTTTTCTGGAACTCATGTATTGTTTTAACCACAACGTTGGCATTTATCTCTTAGATTTGATTAAGTTGAGGATATTTTTTGTCTTTTTTGCAGAGACGATATGGAGGTCGCGCTACTTTACTATAGAACGGGATACTCACCACGTCAATATCCAACAGAAGTGGTATGATTATAGTTCTTTCAGCATGTATTTTGCAGTTGTTTGATGTTGATATTGATGGTGTTGACGTCAACGATGATGACGACTGTAGTGATAGCTACATGTAGTTTAACAGAGTCTGCAAATACAGACTAGCATGTATAACTAAATATAGAATGACCTGCAACCCATGACTCATGCCAGGTCATGTTATGAAACAATAAGTACTTGTACAAGAGATGCTACAAAGATGTCTGACTGACATAGAGCCTCAATAAAGCTATACAACTTATTAGTTCAATCAAAGCTCTCCAACTGGTCTTTTATAAGAACATAATATGGTGTCAGAACTTAGCAGCCAGTGTTTGTGCTGAGCAACCCAGCCTACAGTATATATATATATGGAGGAATCATTGAAATCAGGCCAGTTCAATCCAATTCTTTGTGATGTGAGAGATGATGAGAGCTAGAGGGCTTAGAGTCTAAGTGTATGTCCAGTGAATGAAGTTATGTCCATAATAGTTAGCGCTGTCGTTGTATGGATTGGAGTGCATAGTTCTGTGCCGGGCCAGTTCCAGTATAACGGGCAGTAAGCGTGACATATATGGGACATGAACATGAACATGAAAAAAAAAAGCTAATTGTTATGCTGTTCATGTGAGTGACTACACTAGGCTAAGAAACAAAAAGAAACAAAATGGCAAATCTCAGTCAACCTCCTCCACTCGACTTAAAGGGAAATATTTCCGAGAACTGGAGAAGATTTAAACAGAAATTCACTCTATACAATGTTGCCTCAGGAATGTCTGAAAAAGATGAACAGTTACAAACATCAATGCTTCTACACGTGATTGGCGATGCTGCCTTGGAATTGTATAATACGTTTGTATTTGCTGAGGGTGAGAGCATGAAGCTTGAGAACGTGTTGAACAAATATGAGGAATATTGCATGCCGAAACGTAATCTAACGTATGAGAGACATAGATTTTCCACAAGATCTCAGTTAGTGCATGAGAGTGTTGATCAGTACGCAACAGAATTGCGGAGTCGTGCTCAGTCATGTGAGTTTTCCATGTTGAAAGAGAGTCTTATCCAGGACAGAATTATCTGTGGTATTTTAGACGATGGTCTAAGAGAACGTTTGTTGAGGCAAGATGATCTTACATTGGTTAAAACGTTGCAAGTATGTCGTGCGGCTGAACAAACTCGAACGCAGACACAAGCGTTGAGTTCCGCAGGGGAAAACGCCTCAATTCCGGTAGATTCTTTCAGCAAGACTAAGAAGAAATTTCCTGGTTCAAAGTCAAAACGGTCAGAACCTCAAGGTCGTACTAAAAGTGATGCATGTAGCAGGTGCGGAAACCGACATAGCAAAGACAAATGTCCCGCACAAGGTCAAACATGCAAGAAGTGCGGTAAGCAGAATCATTTTGCTAAATGTTGTAAAACCCCAGTAGCCAAGGTCAATGAACTGCAGCACTTGGAGGTAGATTCAGAAGGTTTCATGATTTGCTCTGTTGAATCAAAAGAATCCAAGGATGAATGGATAGTTAATCTACTAGTCAATAACCAGCCGGTTGACTTCAAGGTTGATACTGGTGCTCAGGCGAATCTTCTTCCTGAGACAGTATTTCACAAATTGAAACCAAAACCAAAGCTACAAAGAGCCAAAGTGATGTTGACAGGTTATTATGAGACAGATATCCCGGTCAAAGGTCGTTGTTGTGTACAAGTTGAGTACAAAGGGATCAAACGCAATGTGCCGTGTCTAGTCATTCCTGGAAATCGTCAGCCTTTGTTAGGATTACGGACGAGTGAAGACTTGTATCTGGTGAAACGGGTGTATCATGTTGAGAAACAAACTGAACACGGAACGGGTAAAAGTGTAGTTCAAGACTATCAAGATGTGTTTGTAGGTCTAGGTTGTCTTCCTGGTAAACACCACATCACATTGAGAGAGGACGCACATCCTGTTCAGCATGCATGTCGCAAAGTTCCATTTCCACTTAAAGATAAACTCAAAGACGAGTTAGATAAGATGGAACGAATGGACGTAATCACACGAGTTGATGAGCCAACTGATTGGGTTTCTTCTCTCGTGGTGGTGATGAAAAAGAACGGTCAGCTCAGGGTCTGTCTAGATCCAAGAGACCTGAACCGAGCAATCAAAAGAGAACACTATCAATTGCCATCAAGAGCTGAAATAACTGCACATTTTGCAGGAGCCAAATACTTCAGCAAGTTAGATGCGTCTAGTGGTTTTTGGCAGATCCAACTAGATGACGAAAGCTCCAAGCTTTGTACGTTTATCACGCCATACGGAAGGTACAAGTTCTTGAGACTACCTTTTGGTATTTGTAGTGCTCCGGAAGTCTATCACAAGATAGTGCACCAACTGTTTGCACACATTCCGGGAGTTAACACAATGATGGATGATTGTGATTGTATGGGGAACTACCCAACAGGAGCATGATGACAGGTTGAGAGAGGTTCTCAGCATTGTGAGAAAAATGAATCTCAAGTTGAACAAAGACAAATGCGAGTTCAATGTCAAGAAGCTCACATTCATAGGTGACTTGATCAGTGATCAAGGAGTTCAACCTGATCCAAAGAAAGTGTCTGCTATCTTGAACATTGAGAGACCGAAATGTTGGAAAGATGTCCAACGGTTCTTGGGTATGATCAATTACCAAGGGAAGTTCATTCCAGATCTGTCGACCAAGTCAGCAGCGCTGAGACATCTACTAGACAAAAAGAATGTATGGACATGGGATCATGCACAAGAGGATGCATGGAATCAGCTGAAACAAGCTCTGATACAAGAGCCAGTCCTACATTTCTATGACAGCAAGAAACCAACCAAGCTGTCAGCAGACGCATCAAAGGATGGTATTGGTGCAGTGCTACTACAGCAATATGATCAAGATTGGGTTCCGATCGCATATGCATCTAGATCAATGACTGATGCAGAGACTAGATATGCACAGATCGAGAAAGAATTGCTGGCAATCACATACGCATGTGAAAGATTCCATCAATACATCTATGGACAACAAGTAGAAGTGGAGCCTCAATAAAGCTATACAACTGATTAGTTCAATCAAAGCTCTCCAACTGGTCTTTTATAAGAACTTAATAACGACGACAGTGATGAAGAAAGTCATCATCATCATCATCACCACCGTCATTATCGTAAGCATCATCTTTATCTACATGGTGAAGATGATGGTGTCATTGAGGATGTTGTGATGTTGGTAGTGGTGGTACTAGGGTTCGAGGCGGTCATTGTGAAGATGATGATGGCGGTGGTGGTGGGGTGGTAGAGATGATGAGATGGGTCCAAGCAATGTATTGGTCAAATTCAATATGGAAAGACATTTTTTCACCCAGTCTCTCGTCGACACGTTGAATTTAAAAGAATTTTTTGGGGGGACCAAGAAAATAGATTCGGACCAAATTCTTGTTAAAGCATTGAAAACAAATATGTCCTTTTGGTTATCTGATATTTTTAAAATCAAAGATATAGGGTTAAGGCTTTGGTAGAAAATAAGATTTAGGTAATTTAATAAGTAAAAATGATAGTGTAGTGTCATGGATTGAAGTTCAGCATTTTTCATTGGAGACCGTACGTCACATGATATTTCAAATCTGATTTTTGTTTTTTAAAACTTTCCTTTAGGAGTGGAATGCCAGGTTAATGGGCGAGAGATCACGGGCGGCCGTGTGTCCGTCAGTGGCCATGCAGCTAGCCGGGACCAAAAAGATTCAGCAAGTACTCTACGAGCTTGGCTCTATCGAACTCTTCATCAAAGGAAAGAAAAGAGTCAATGATTTACGAAGCATATTCACTGGACACTACACTCTAGATCTTGTAAGTAACCAGGAGGCGATTGCCCCTTGCAATAACAAAATAGACTTATTGACTACTTAGAGGGGCACGGTTAAAACTATTGCCCTGTGTGATCTCGAAACTGAACTATAAACAAAATGGATCCTTTGAATTTGTGTAGGCTTCAGTCTTACATTCTTTGTATGTCGTGCGCTCATTTGCTTTGGCTAGCCTTATAGCAAGATGTAATAACGCTCGCAAGTCTGGTCATAGCTTGGAGGGGTGTAGGAGCTCCACATACCTTAGCGGTTTTTTTCCTTCTGTTTCTTGACTAATGCTGTAACCCTATATAATGCAAATGTTGCTTAAATTCATATAAGCTTTGTTTAAATCATGATTATTATCCAGCGAGTACAAACTACAAAGAGATTTTTTTTTAAATATTCCCGTAGGGTTTAAGACCCTAAGAACCACTACATTATTATTTTTGTCTGATTATTTTGTCAGACACCTGCTGGTGACGAGGCTGCAGAGAAAGCCATTGCTAACCCGATGAAGTATGTTATGAAACCACAAAGAGAAGGAGGAGGTAAGCAAAAGTGGTCGAGGAAAACAGGGATGAGGATAATGAAACGTTACAAAGCGTCAATGATAGTAATTCATTTGAAGAATATAATAGGTTTAAGTTATTAAATCTTGTCCTAAAAACAACATGAATAATCTAATTTCCTCGGATAAAAAGATAAGTGGCTTGCATGAGACAAAAATGTATACCGAGGCGTTCAACGTCTCTTAGTATACGACTCCTGTCTGCCGGTTTAAATGTGCTCATAATTTTGTGCTCATCTCTCATTTCCCCGGAAATACTTGGATTATTGAGGGGTAAAGGCACAGAAATTGCTAGTTTAAAGACATACACAAATAATTATTTTCTTCATGTCCTTCATCGTAATATAAGGCAATAATCTGTTCGGGGAGAAGATGAAGGATGCATTGGAGAAACTTCGAGGATCACCGGAGAGGGCGGCCTATATGCTGATGGACAGGTTCAACTCTCCCGTCAATCATAACTATTGTATGAAGTACGGGAGCGCTGATCTAGAACTCATGACTGTGGCCAGTGAGTTCGGTCCCTTCGGAACGTTAGTAAGGTAGGCAAGTTACAGGGTTGTGGGGAACGATGCATCTCAGATAACATAGGCCATACAGAACATGCTGCTATGTTGCAGAGTCGTCAAAGGAACGTGTTTACAGAGATTACTGTTTGCACAGAGAAACAGCTGTGTACATGGTTCCTTGACAAGGTATACTTTGTTGGCAAGGAAGACTAGATCGTCTATAGGAATTAACAAAAGACAGTGAGGGAAAACTGATATTATAGAAAGCAGGTATTTGGGTAATTTTAAGGACTCATGAGGTGAAAAGAAGTTCCATGTTTACCTTCCACCTCAGTTTGCAGTGATTTGTTCTTATAAAGCGCCATGTAACCGTTCGATTGTATAAAGTGCGTCAATAAACCCACTATGCAGATAACAAGGACGCATAGATAATGTCCAATAAATGTACTCTAACAAGTTTTCAAAATAAAACCCGTGTATTCCTTTGCCCAGGGGCTTGCATTAATTTTTTTCACGGCGTTATATCTCTGTCTAGAACGCAACAGATGGACCACGCAGGAATTAGACTGTGTAGGTGACCTGTTGATCGCCAGATTACAAATAACCACCCCCCCCCCCTTTCTCTTACAGTTACAACGACGAAGTAGTGTTCAACAAGACAACAGGCTATCTCTACCGTACGAAAGACATCCAGTTGGATGAGGGAGGTTTGATGGTGGGTACAGGATTCCTGGACACACCCTATCTATCATCTGCAGAAGTCATCTGCCCCACAGCAACCCAAAATGGCTTCCATTAACTGACAAACCTCCGGGACTATATTCTACAACGTAAAAACCTAACGCGGGGCTGATCTTAATTCGAAAAGGGTACAGTTCACTAAAAATGTGTGTGTTTAATTGGTCGTTTTGAAATCTGCCAGTGAGGGTTGTCTTATCAGGTCATACGCCGTTATTTCTAAGGCTTAGCAGACGTTTTATAAAGAGAAGCTTCTTGACATTATTTTAAAAGTAGGGGATATAATTGGAGAGCTCCCTTGAAAATTCTATTTAATGAATGTCTATGATTCTCCTCACTTTCTCTGCAGGAAAAAAGGTACCCTGTCTTTTGTGGAATTTTTAAACGATTATATTATACGATTTCAATTATAATAATTCATCAGAATATTTCAAAATTTACAAATGTATATTGTTTGGGTTTAAGAAAAGTCAAATGAGAATTTAGTGAAAGTAATAACATAGACCTATGGCTTAAGTTGTACCTTTCGTTAATTCAAATCAGAAATGGCTTTATTAAGGGGGTGAGTGAAGAAGAATATGACAACCGTCGATTGTTTCCGTTAATAAGAGATCCTTATTGTAATTATACGCAAACAAAAACTATGCAAATTTAGGAATATTCATTACATTTTATAAATCAAATGAATTTTATATATTTTCACATTCAATTTTATAATAATATGTATCTGTAAATGCACATGTGCAATAAGAGACATGCTTTTAGATATGTATGACATTACTTGCCTTTAAAATCATACATGATTGTGTGTGTAATTTTGAAACTACGTGGACGGTACTTGAAACAGCACGCATGATTACGAAGAACCTATAAAATAAATATTTCGTCACTGCGAAATTATTTTGGTGAATCTATTCACGATTTTAAATATTATATATGTATCTCAGGCTATAATAGTTTATTCAGCAAAGCATGGGCATCAGAATATAGCTGTATGCTCCAAGTTTAGTTTAGACAGTAAAGGAGAAATTGTATTATTTCTCTTACGCGTGTGAATATGTTATTACGTTGTAAGGCGAAAATAGTTATAGGTTAGCAAAACATGATGAAATATTTAAACAGAAAGTTCGTAATACATCATGTTTGTCTGTAATTTCAAAGACGGATTCTGCTCGGAGAATTGTTTTCTCCGATAAAAGTGTTTTTAAGTGACCTTTCATTGTAAACTTGTTTGTTGTGTAATTTTAACGAAATACTTTCTGTTTAACAAATGTTGATGTCTCATATAGCATTTTTTTTAACGTATGAAGTAAATTAATGTGCATTCTGTTGTTCATGGTGTAAAACGCCCTTCTGATGGCCCAAATTAACCTTCACATTTTTGTCAGTTTTAGTAGAAATATAAGATTTTAAATTCTTCAAAGTAATGCATATTTCGTGTCACATGAATCAACATTTAATAACCCCGGCTTTTGAAGTATTTCATCAGGAACTATCGAATAAAGTATCCACCTTGTATCCGCCATGTCGTAAACCTATTGTACAGTACTAGTTGAGAGCATAACAATACGCGTTGCTATATGAGGTTTTAGGAGGGGAATGGAGCAGCTCGAACTAATGTGCTAATGAATTGATCAGGAAAACATGTATAAGCCTTACATTTGCCGATAAAATGCTGAAAGTACTAACAAAATCACTATATTGATATTTGTTATCTGTGCGTACGCGCGCATGTGTGTGATTGCGTGGGCGTGTGTCTGTGGAAAGGGGGTAATAGCCTCCCTATCCCTTGTATTGCTCCAATGTCTCACCTAAAAGTAGGCATACTTTTACGGATAGCCCACCACGTGGATTTTGATACCTTTGAGGCAGATCCAAGATCCAATACTGGAACTTGAAAGCCAAATATCCGTTTTTAGAATATAATTTCTACTTGAAGATCTGCAATATTTCCGCCCAATATATTGGAATATACCTATGCATTCTTTGACCGGAAAAGCTCGTAATTCTTAATAGTACCTTTTGAAAGTCTGTGGGTTTAAAACACACACAAACAAAATCATTTTTGTTGTATCGGGATTGTATGAGAAAATTTGAAAAGACCACGTCTGTCATGTAATTTCGCTATGCAAGTTAATAGGATTGTATAAATATGGTAAAATGAATAGTAAATGTTTACTAGAATAGCACTTAGATTGTACATAGAACACTAGAATAGAAAGTAAAACATGCAGTATCACTTGCATTTTTGTAGATATCTGCATCATTTATATGAGCACTGTGTGCTCTGAAGATTTACTGATATATTAGACGTTGTATATTTTTTGTGGTATTTTGAAGTGTTGAATAATGAGTTTTGAACGAAGTATTGATTAATAAAAATGAGGTGCACTTTTTACTAAAGGACATGTGTGAATTATCTCAATCATTACTTTCCCGTCTGTTTACAGTAAAATATAACTGTAATGAATAACGACAGGGGCATTTCAGTAGATCGAGAGTTCGCGAGACCGGCGGCCGAGTGACCAACAAAACAAATAGATATACGGAAATTAGACATTTTAGCATGTTCCAAAACACCCATGAAAACTGACAAAACAAAGAAAAGAAAGAAAAGAATATCGGTTTCATAGATTTGTCTTAAAAACCCTCTTAAAAGTCGCTAAAAAGCCAGTTATAGATCGACACTGTCGGTCGGTTGGATGGGGGTCTTACGGGCCTTTGGTCTGATGAAGTCCAGGCGCGGATCCAGGGGCGGGGGGCTAGCGGGCCTTGCCCCCCCCCCCCCCCCCCCCGCCAAAAAAAAAAAGGGAGAGAGAGAGAAGGAAAGGAAGGGAAAGGGAAAGAGGAGAGAAAGGGAAAAAAAGAGGAAGAAGAAAAGAAAAGAGGGAAGAAAGAGATCGGGGAGGGGGGAGGACTTGCCTCCCAGGCTGTTGCCTCCCCCCCCCCCCTAATCAAAGATACAAATTTAAAAAAAGGAGGAAGGAAAGGGAAAGAAAAAGGGAAAAGAGGAGATAAAGGGAAGGCAAAAAGAGGAAGAAGAAAAGAAAAGAAGGAGGATATCAGTTACAATTTTCCCGCCAACAAGTTGTTGATCCCCCCCCCCCCCCCCGTCCCCGCTAGGGCCCTAAGGCGGACCCCTGAATGCTAATCTGACTGTAAATTATTGCCTTAAACCCCTAAGCTTCCGGGGGCGGACAAGGCAGGCGCGGATCCAGGGGGGGGGCCGAGCGGGCCTTGGCCCCCCCCCCCCCCCCCCCCCGGCAAAAAAAAAAAAAGAGAGAGAAGAAAGGAAAAGAAGGGAAAGGGAAAGAGGAGAGAAAGGGAAAGAAAGAAGAGGAAGAAGAAAAGAAAAGGGAGAAGAAGGAGATCGGGGGGGGGGGGGCGAAAGGGCCTTGCCTCCCAGGCTGTTGCCCCCCCCCCCCCCCAATCAAAAAAATAATAGAGAAGGAAGGAAAGGGAAAGAAAAAAGGAAAATAGGAGATACTGGCGTACTGATAGAGAGGGGGGGGGGGGCTTGGGGAAAATCAAATTTAAACGTGTTTTATTTCTAATTCCATAATTGTGGATTACAAATAATGCTGAAATGACATAATTTCCGAGATTTTTCCTCACTTTTTAGTAAATTATACTTTTTTATGCGTTTGTTGGAAAATGACAAAATGACAAATGATGAATTTACAGCCAGGCAAGAAATATGATTCTTGAGATTCCTACATGTCAGGGCCCGAGGAACGGCGGGAATCGGGAGCCTCGAGCCCCCCCCCCCCCCACACTTTAACAAAAAAAGTATATTAAAGAGAAATAAAAAAATAAAAAAAGAGAGCAAGAAAGAAAGAATAGTTAAATGCCAGTGTTAACAAATAAAGAGGCATCAAAATATGATCATCTGACCGTGATTAAATGCCTAAAACCCCTAAGCTTCCGGGGGATCTACCCCCTGGATTCCACCTAGGGCCCTAAGGTGGGCCCTTCGATGCTCATCTGACGGTTATTTAATGCCTAAAACCCCTTATTGTGGGGGGGCTCCGCCCCCTGGATCCCACGCCAAATAGTGTCCTGCCAGTGACACAAAATAATAAGGATTATAACAAAATGCTCATCTGACCGTAAATAAACGCCTAAAACCCCTGAGCTTCCGGGGCTCTGCCCCCAGGATTCCACCTTGGGCCCTAAGACGGGCCCTTCGATGCTCAGTTGACGGTAATTTAATGCCTAAAACCCCTGATTTTGGGGGGCTTTGTCCCCTTGACCCCACGCCTAAGTGTCCTGCCAGTGTGACAAAATAATAAGGATTATAAAAAATGCTCATCTGACCGTAATTAAACGCCTAAAAACCCCGAGCTTCCGGGGGCTCCACCGCCTCGACCCCACCAGGGGCCCTAAGGCGGGCCCCTGAATGCTTGTCTGACCGTAATTTATTGCCTTAAACGTCTGAGCTTCCAGGGTCGGACAAGGTATCAAAATGTGTTAATCTGACCGCAGGCGCGTAGCCAGGGGGGCGGTGGGGGGGTGGGGGCGGTGGGGGCGATGGGGGCGGTACCCAAACAATAACCGCCCCCCCCCCCCTAAAAAAGAAGAGGAGAGAAAAGAAAGAGGACGTAGAAAGAAAAAGGAGCAGACAAAGAACATCTTTAAAATTCAGACAAAGATTAGTGTAGAGAACGGTACAACGCATCGTCTTCTTTCTCTAATAATTTAATGAAACGTAAAAGCCCCCGCGCTTCGCACGGGAGGGGGGAAACTGAACTCGGACGAGGATTAAGCATCGAGAACGGTACAACGAATCGTCTTGTTTCTCTAAAGATTTGAAGAAAAGCTTCCGCGCTTCGCGCGGGAGGGGGTAACCTGTATTCAGACGAGGATTAAGAGTCGAGAACTGTACAACGAATCGTCTTCTTTCTCTAATGATTTAATGAATCGTAAAAGCTTCCGCGCTTCGCGCAGGAGGGGCCGGGGGGGGGGGGGGCGGTGAAAATGAATTTAGACAAGAATTAAGAGTCAAGAACGGTACAAAAAATCGTCTTCTTTCACTAATGATTTAATGAATCGTAAAAGATTTCGCGCTTCGCGCGGGAGGGGGAAAACTGAATTCAGACGAGGATTAAGAGTCGAGAACGGTACAACGAATCGTCTTGTTTCTGTAATGATTTAATGAAACGTAAAAGCTTCCGCGCTTTGCGCGGGAGGGGGTAACCTGTATTCAGACGAGGATTAAGAGTCGAGAACTGTACAACGAATCGTCTTCTTTCTCTAATGATTTAATGAATCGTAAAAGCTTCCGCGCTTCGCGCAGGAGGGGCCGGGGCGGGGGGGGGGGCGGTGAAAATGAATTCAGATGAGGATTATTTTCGAGAACGGTACAACGAATAGTCTTCTTTCTCTAATGATTTAATGAATCGTAAAAGCTTCCGCGCTTCGCGCGGGAGGGGGACAACTGAATTCAGACGAGGATTAAGAGTCAAGAAATGTACAACGAATTGTCTTGTTTCTCTAATGATTTAATAAATCGTAAAACCTTCCGCGCTTCGCGCGGGAGGGGGAAAACTAAATTAGGACGAGGATTAAGAGTCGAGAACTGTACAACGAATCGTCTTGTTTCTCTAATGATTTAATGAAACGTAAAGTTTCCGCGCTTCGCGCGGGAGAGGTGAACCTGAATTCAGAAGAGGATTATTTACGAGAACGGTACTATGAATCGTCTTCTTTCTCTAATAATTTAATGAAACGTCAAAGCTATTGCGTTTCGAGGAGGAGGGAGGGAGAAACTCGCCCCTCCCTGCACCCACCCCCCCCCCCCGCATTACGTCACTGCTGGTCACCATTACGTTCCAATTTTTGGCTCGCATAATTTCAAATTTGGGCCCCCCCCCCCCTAAGAAATCCTGGATCCGCGCCTGGGACAAGGTATCAACATATGTTCATCTGAACGCAGGCGCATAGACAGGGGGAGGGGGTGAGGTGGTTCCCCCCCCCCCAAAAAAAAAAAAAAAAAAAAAAAAGAGGAGAGAAAAGGAAGAGGACGTAGGAAGAAAAGGGAGTAGACATAGAATATTTTTGAAATTCAGACAGAATTTAGAGTCGAAAACGGTACAACGAATCGTCTTCTTTCTCTAATGATTTAATGAAACGTCGAAGCTTCCGCGCTTCGTGCGGGAGGGGAGGGAACTGAATTTAGACAAGGATTAAGATACGAGAACGATACAACTAATCGTCTTCTTTCTCTGATGATTTAATGAAACGTAAAAGGTTCCGCGCTTCGCGCGGAAGAGGGGAAACTAAATTCAGACGAGGATTGTTTTCGAGAGCGGTACAACGAATCGTCTTCTTTCTCTAATGATTTAATGAAACGTAAAAGCTTAGCGCGGGAGGGTGAAACTGAATTCAGACGAGGATTAAAAGTCATAACGGTACAACGAATCGTCTTCTTTCGCCAAATGTTTTAATAAAACGTAAAAGCTTCCGCGCTTCGCGCGAGAGGGGGAAAATAAATTCAGACGAGAATCATTTTCGTGAGCGGTACAACGAATCGTCTTCTTTCTCTAATAATTTAATGAAACGGCAAAGCTTCCGCGCTTCGCGTGGGAGGGGAGGGAACTGAATTTAGACAAGGATTAAGAGTCGAGAACGGTACAACGAATCGTCTTCTTTCTATAATGATTTAATGAAACGTAAAAGCTTTCGCGCTTCGCGCGGGAGGGGGGAAACTGAAGTTAGACGAAGATTAAGAGTCGATAACGACACAACGAATCGTCTTCTTTCTCTAATGATTTAATGAAACGTAAAAGCTTCCGCGCTTCGCGCGGGAGGGGGGGGATGAAACATAATTCAGACGAGGATTATTTTTGGGAACGATACAACGAATCGTCTTTTTTTTCTTCTTTAATAATGTATTGAAATGTCGAAGCTTCCGCGCTTCGTGGAGGAAGTAGGGGAAAAACTCGCCCCTCCCTGCACCCCCCCCCCCCATTACGTCACTGCTGGTCACCATTACGTACCAATATTTGGCTCGCATAATTTCAAATTTGGGCCTCCCCCCGCCCCTAAGAAATCCTGGATCCGCGCCTGTGATGAACCCTCAGAAAAGTCTGTTGTCAGAAGGCCCGGGAGTATACCAGAAATTGTTAACCAATCAAGCATCAAACTTAAGAGCCAACAAAAACAGTCCAAGGGTGCTGTCATGTTCTCCTGTTCTTTCTAATCTCAAGACTATTTTTGATAGCAAATATTTATGGAATATCGTCTCAGTTCGACACACTTCTATCTTTTTCTCTGCCTTGAAATTTGCATAGTCCCTATTGTGATTTTTATTATCGAATATCTCTCTCTCTCTCTCTCTCTCACACACACACACACACACACTCGAAAACGCACGCAAACACACACTCTCTCTCTATCTCTCATTCACACACACACACACACGCACACACACGCACACACCCGCACTCACACACACACGCTCCCTCTCTCTCTCTCTCTCTCTAACTCACACACACGCACATACGCACACATCCTACTTTTAGGCCTCATTTATATAGCTGTGTTTATGTAAAGAGTGTCTGCAGCCAACCGGCGATCAGTGTTACTAGATTTAAAGCCCCTCCGCCCTCCCCCTCCACCATTACGCACATTGTAGGTCTACGAAATGACTGAACAATTTGCAAAGAACTTACTTATGAAAACTCAAACATGTAAACTATTCTCGAGTGAGATTCTTGCTAGCCTCATACTAGTTAATATGATAATTGAACGTCCGGTTGTTTTGGGCTCAAGTACGGTTGCGAGTCGTTATGGAGTCAGACTCATGAACACACGGCTGCATGCGTACGATTTGAAACCGATTTTTCTTTTCGATTAAAGGCCATCAATAAACCCGCAATATTTACTCCGCCATCCAGTTAAGAAACTGACCAAGAAGACATTAAATTTTAGAATGTTCAAATCTGATAATATTACAATATCTTTGTCAATAATAGCAATTAAGAATATGCGCAGTGGGGTTTGTAAAAATGGATGCACGTCGAACCTACCTGTAATGCCATCGGAATACGCCCTCTACAGTAGTAACTGCTTATCAGAATCATTGCAATCATCTCCTGCATTTGCAACCGACCGGGCGCTACTCCTTTCGCATAAGATACAATTTTGTTTCACCAGTAATTCATCAAAGACATTGGCAGGCTCATATCCCGTATATATGGATTGATTTGCGAACACAATAGGGCTATAGAACTCAGGTTGTCACAGCGATCGAATATCATCATGTCTGCTCACGGTAAAAAAGGATGGACAAGTATCATGAAGGTAAGAATAAAAGTTTTCTGATTATTTTTTATAGAAAAACAACCTATGAAAAAATATGTATCAGAGGTAATGCCCGGTTTTGGAAGCTAAAAAAAGGGTGCTTTATGTTATGTTTCACAATTCTGATAGTTAATTTCGAGGGTAGATCGATCATGTACGAAAAATTTTATGACATATACCCCCTTTTTATATTTTTTAATTGAGTTTATTGTTTAAATTTTTTTAAAGAGTTATTCGAGGTCGCTGACAAATGACTTTTATTGTATTAAGGATCTCACTAGTTTCACTGGTTATACCTGTTACACTCATGTTATATTAAAAGGATCGGATGTGTACATATGCCGACCACACACAATGAAACTTTCTTATGATGATAGCTCACACACAAATATTGGAAGATGGCACAAAAATTGTTCTTTTTAAGGGGGATGCGGATATTGACGATAACGGTCAAGATGTCGGCATACAAACTACGTTGTAGCTATGGCGTACTGGTTTTGTTATGTTGATTATTTATGAGGCTAGAGTATTTTGCATCTATACCCACTATATTGATTGCCTACATTAATGTTCTTCACACATTGAGCGATGAGATGATAAGTTAATATCCCACCCATTATTCAGCGGCGGTGGAGCGTCTTCCAAAGTGGAAGGGGGGCACCAACAAAAGGGGCACTTTCTGGAAAAATGGGCACCTACAAAGGAAAACCTCAAAGTGAAAATATGCAATTTTAAGACATTGGTATATACCCCTACATTGTGATTACATTTTTAGGGATGATTTCAATGTTTTTTCTCTCTTTACATGGTCCAAGATACTGCTTAAGCATCCTAATTTGAAGTTGGGTGTGATGGTCTGAATATATTTATTTGCGAGCGAGCGAATCAAGTGAGCAAAAATATAAATATTTTTGAGGTCGCAGTGCGAAAAACTACATCTTATAATAAAACGGAAAATCAAACAATTCTGTTTGGGGTTTTAAGCACATTCTAATCATGAAAGACTGAAAAGATATTTAATAAGAAATATAATTACATCAACTGTAAATGCGAGCGAGCGTAGCACGCGTGCATTGGGAGAAATGAATGAAATTTTTTTAAACATACGATAGTATTTTTATTTAAGTGAGAAAAAACCGGAAAATCATGTAATTTCAGAAAAATTTGTAAATCACTGGAATCGAATTAGAAATTTACCTGGTTTGAATTACTTTATTTGGGTGGGGGTGGGGGCAACTACCCCAAAGTCCCCCCCCCCCCCTCCCCCTCTCCATCAGTACGCCAGTGTGTACGTGTGTGAATGACTGAGTTGTAGATATCAGTGGGTTTTGTTTGGGGTAGGGTAGTACATTAAAACTGATTTCATTCATATTTTTTTTTCGATCGTCATTTATAAATTGTACATGTATTCAGCTATTTGTATATGTTTTCACGATGAAAAAGAAGTATATTCTCAAACAATCATTTGTATCGTTCGATATTGAATAAATCTAAAAATTTATTACGCAAACGTTTTTTTCTCTCTCTCTCCCTGCATATAGACGTGTGTTGGTGAGGGTGTGTGAATTTTGTAATGATTTTTTTTCTACACAAATATCATATGCCTTTTTCTATAAAACTTCGCCTTTTTTTGGTTTCATGTACCGTGCGAACTAAAACATTCTTATGCTCAATGCAATTTTTGTGACTCACCCAAAGATTCCTCACTGGTTTGTTGTATATAGGCTTAATAGAGTGATAATTATTTAAAACGTTTCCAAATTGTTTTAATTTGCAGGCTAACTATTCATTTACTTTAAAATGTATTTTCATAATAGTTAAATGTATAAACAAGTGAAAGTTTTTTATAAATTTGTATGTAAATCAATCCAAAGGTCGATACACGGGTCTGCCTATAGTGGCCTATAGTCACGACCATATACAAAATATGCCGATTTTTAAAGCTTTGAAGTGCTTTTTATATCAATTATACGGGAATACTGATGCACGAAATGGCGGAAATGTATACAATGGAAAAGTATATAAATGTTATAAATCAAGAGAAACAAAACTTAATTCATCAAAGAAAGTATCGGGAGTTTTTATTTCATTTTTAAGACTATTTTACTTTTGTACATATTTTGTTGATCATGTACAAAGTTGACTCAAAGTATTCACCGCAATGGAAAGAAAGATTCTTGTAATATGGTAAGCTCACCGCACAGTGTACGTTCTTCGCGCGATCCGAACTTCAAGATATTGGTTTTATGAATAATGGTAAGAATACTAACAACCGGAATTTGACTGCATTTAAGCCTTCTAGTCAGAATAAAAGCCGAATCGGCTTCACATCGTAGACAAACGCACTACTGGTATGACGCTACTACGATTGTTTCCTCCAAGGAAGCTTGAAATTAATTGAAATAATAATTTCATTAATCGTATGACTGTTTAAATAATCGATCATTAAGATTTTAGAAGTTTGAATGTTCATATAAAATGCTATTGTAAGTTCTTCCAGAATGGGACCGTGGTGAGATCGTAAAATGTGCGGTGGGCTTTGGAAGACTCTTCATTAACTTACCCTTAGTTTACGCAGAAAGGCGAGCATAAAGTAACAAACGGGCAGGGTTTTAGGCCTACCATATACAGTGTGAGTCCAAAAAAGTTTACACCTAGAAAATTGCTAATTATTTCATAAATCATCTATGAACAGTAAAGTATTATACATCTGAAAGAGTGTTTTATCCCGAATCATTAGGTATCATTTTTGTGTGGTATGTGTTCACGCTTGGATGAACAGGAGGTATTGTTTGCGAGAGTGCAAAAATCGACTTGCACAAAAGTTGCTTATGTGATGTTTGAATCAAACAATTGGGATTTGGGTATTAATTCGGTCTTTGCAGATCCAAATGACATCCCGAACAAAATTAATCATGCCACACATATCAAATATCGAATATCAACGAACATTGTTGTGCGCGCGCGTGTGTGTGCGTGTGTGTGTGTGTGTGTGTGTGTGTGTGAAAAAAGCATATGCAATGCATCTCATTTGATACATTCAATTCATTCTCTCACTTTAATCCCAAGTCGATTTTTGCACTCTCGCAAACAATGCCGCCTGTTCATCCAAGCGTGAACAAATACCACACAAAAATGATTCCAAATGATTTGGGATAAAACGGTCTTTCATAAGATGCATAATAATTTACTTTCAAAGATGATTTCTAAAATAATTAGCAATTTTCTGGGTGTAAATTTATTTCTTTTTGACTCACACTGTATAACATTGTTGACCAAGGGAAGTCTCATCAGCTTCAATACTGTTCTTCCTGAAGGCCCTGCAATTATTATTACCAAAGCGATCGGGTTTTTAGTCAATTTCTCGACTTTATACTCGTATTATCGACCCATCTTATAAAATAATTAAGATTGCGCACGAAGGACATGCATTGCACTTATTGATTAGACGGTCAATCAACGCGACAAGTCTAGCTAATTATTTATGACTTACATGGAGAAAATAGGGAAATAGATAGATAGTTAGAGAGAAAGAGAGAGAGAGAGAGAGAGAGAGAGAGCAAGGAAAGCGAAATCATTTTACTTGAAAAAACCAACAAGATCGGAGAACAAAGAAACGGAACGGGCAATTGAAGACTGAAGAGGGAAAGGAGAGAAGTCAAGATGAGAGGGTCGAAAAGATTAAGGGAGAGAGTAGAGAGTGAGAGAGAGAGAAAGAGAGAGAGAGAGACGGGGTGAGCATAAATGGAAGGAGAGGGAGAGAGAGATTTTTAAAAAAAGAATGCAAAGAGAATGTTATGCACGAAATGAATATTTCAGCTTCACTGATCAATTTCTTTTCGGTAGGCCCATATATAATTCAATGTTGCAATGTTTCATTTTTCTTTCACCAGACTTACTCTTGGACAACCTGTTTCCTCATCGTGAACATATTATCTCCTGCAACAGGTAACCTCCTAAAATAATTCTTGAATAAAAACATTCTAAAACAGCCTTTGACAACGAATGCAAATAATAATATTCAATTTAATTGCCTTTTATTGTCCATTCAGGAAAAAGAAATTATCACTGGTTTTACATACATTGTACATGTACATAAAACAAGAAGAAATACACACTACAATATTAGTAAATGTACTTCATCAGAAACATAATAACATTCTGAAAATAATTATCACATTGGAAGACAGACAAACATTTATACATTAATTGCAGTATACTTATAAACTACATCCATGTTACCATTTCAAGTTGATTCAAACCTTTAAGCTTCCTGTGTGTTTATTTGAAAATGTGGATAATTTAAGTGTTATGAGCCCTGACATAATTCCGAACAAATACATGAATTGAAACTAGTATTTACGTTTGAGGTGACAAACTCCGGACTTGGGCGGTAAAGGTAGTGTTTCCATTTTGCAGCCAACATCAAATTATGTAGAACTTTGCAGGAATTATGAATATGTCAAGTATGTCCTATCTGTGAAACTTAAACGTTAGCAGTATCCTAGTGTTCAAAATATGCAAAGAAACCCGTTTAATTCCTAGACTTCACTGTCAGACATTATTAATTGACTTTTTTTTACTTTGAAAATAACATACATAAATGAGCTGTAAAGGGTACATGAGCATTTGTCTACATCAATAACCCACTTCTTGTAATGGCCAAAATTAAACTGATGGAATCTTTGCGCAGCACAAAACGTTTGACCATTCGGTACAAGGGTCTGAAAATCAGACTATTTAATAAAACGACTGCAATCCCTAAATTCGATTCGACAACTATCAGTCATTATTCTCCCACAAAAAGACATTTTCAATCCCTTTCGTTTTGAGGGAAGTTCTAAATTAGTATTATCTTTCAAATGCCGTTGGAAATTAACCTTTTCATTTTTTGGGCCTGCAAATCATGGGACATAGTACCTTTAAATAGATGAATGGCGTTAGGGACAAATGATTGCGTGAAACAGGTTTCCTGTTTGCGCGGTGCATGCGCATAGACG